GAAGGGACTTTGTTCATATTATTCGACAATATGAACATCATTTATACATTACATAAACATATGTTCGTTAATTGTCATATAATCTTATATAATATAATATAATATATTTAACGATTCAATATAATCTTCATCACAATGTTGCTGTATATTTAATGTCTCCCGTACGCATGATTAGACTTATGAGCTGTAAAAGAAATATTTTTTAATTGTAAATTTCTTAATACAAGAATATCAACACTTACGTTTATAAAACTCTCCCAAGAAGTTTACGTTAGGCACTAGAGAGTGAACTTTGGGTAAAACCGTAGCTTTTGATACTAGATCAGCGTTTACGTTCCAAATCTAAAAAAATAATTTTTAATTCTATCTGATCAATTCTATCTGATCAATTCTATCTGTTTTCTTAAATATTGCTGTCTACTTGATTCACGACGTACATACTTGAATGAAATCTTCCCTATCACGGATAGATACAGTCACGCCACAAATTTCATCATCCTGCGCCACATCTGAAGTAAATTGTTCCCCAATAGCTGCAAGTACTACTTCTTTCCATACTTGTTCCTAAAAAATCAAATATTTGTCATACAAAATAATCAATTATTTAAAAGTTCTATGTGCAGGAAAATAAGACGACGATTATCTGAATAAAAATTTGTGCTCGTATAAATGTATTAGAATATTTACGGTATCAAATTTATGGCACTTTAATCTCCAGGTACCACCCTTTTGATTCACTTTGTCTTCCCATAAAGGGTATCTGTCATCTCTCATTAAATGATAACTGTATTTAACCTGATGGCAAAAAGAAATAATTTATTGTGAAATATAAATAACAAATTAAATAACAAATAATATGATAATGTATCATAATACAGTGTCAAATAGTACAATTAGATATTAAATAGCATAATATAATTTAAACAATAATATAATTAATGTCAATTATATAAATATCTTAAATAAATTTTTTAAATTTTTAATAATATACTATAATTTTAGAAATTAATTACAACAAACATAAAATATATATGAAAAAAATTTTTCTGTGTATAGATTTTTTATCATACCTGCATGTCCCCGGCATTCGGTATGTTATTAAAGACTGCCCAGAAAGTTTGAATAGTATTTACGGTATAGATTTTCTGCAAGTTGTTTTTGTATTCCTCAGCGGTTGTACCAGGGATAGCTCTGTCAATTTAATAATTGTTTTGAATTAACGACGTGTTGAAATTTATGATAGAAATAATTTGATTCTCTCTCTTGCATCTGAAATATAAGTCTCTCCAAATTCAATAAGTAATAATAGGAAATTTCAATTAAAATGAAAGAGATAAAATTACATAAACTATAGAATAATACTATTTATTCTTTGTTTAGTTATACATGTATAGTCTGATAATAAAGTTCTCGGACTGCAGCAATAGAACACATATATCAGATAACAAAATGTCATATTTTATCTTTCAAAGTACCTCTCCACGACATCAATCCATTTCACATACTTTATTTCATACAATATATTTCACACATCTTATTTAATATAAAGCTTCAAAATATTTTTTAAATTGTTGGGTTTGTTAAGATTACCCATCCATAGTCAAACATAGCTTTTTCGGATTTCATGTCGTTCCCAAACCTTAATCATTGAAAGATAAAAATATTCAGAGGATTGTGCTGAGCATTCAAACTACAGTCTTTAAAAAGTTTAAAATTTTATTTTAGCATTAAAGATATGTGAAGCGTATTAATTACTACACAGAGAAAATTATTGAAAGAAGATATTTGAAATATATAATATAATAATTTGTTATCTGAGATATTTGTATGATTTTATTGTTGCAATCCGAGAACTTTATTATCAAACTATTAGATGAGTTACAAATTTTGATACGGTGATGAAAAACGTTATTTGAAACAGGAAATATAAGTAAATTACGATATATGTAATTATGAATATAATTATTTATAATTATTTGAATTCATTGGCACTTCCGGATGCAGTAGTTTCTTTAAATTTTACAAAAATAAAAATCAAGAGAGAAGATTATTCTATTTCGCGTATAAACGTACTGTGTACTTATTATTTATCTGTACAACAACAATTAAATATATTTGTTCAATAATAATAAAGAGAGTAAAAAAACTTACATGTTATTTATTATACCCGACGTTATTTACTGATTTCATTTTTAGAACACTCTATATAGTCGTATAATTAAATGCATAAAATTCTCTTGAATGATAGTGATAAACGTGTATCGTAATTTATTAATAGAACACATAAATATGAATGTATACGAATGAATTTTTCCTCTATGACGCAATGGCGGTTACGAGAACAGAAAAGTAATGTGCATTTATGAGGACGTAATGTGTAAATTAATTTCGCGCGTATTTGCATTGTACGTTGGATTATTTAAACAAAGAAAAATCAGGAATAGCGATCTCGTGGATGTTGGACCGATGATTTTTCGACGGCATTTCTCGCAAGCGTCGTTTACAGTGTCAACGTTTATCAAGAGCGACGACGATAAGATCGAGATGCACCATCGCGTTGGGATGCATCGCATTATAGAACGGGAAAAACAAAATCACTGCGTTTGCTCTCACTTGTCGAGCCAAAAGGTCCAGGGCGTTTGCAGCGGAATGCCGGAGTCCTCATCTTTCTGGATTACGTTAACGGCCTCGTCCGACAACGCCGGCGTTTTCAACAGGTCCGCTGAGGTACCCTCCTTCGTTTCACATTCCGCCGCGGCCATGTTCGAAACGAACGATGCAGCAGCGCTACAACGTCTAAAATCATGTGATGATCACCGTTGCCGTTGTTGTCGATGACTGCGGCGAGAACCGATGACGTTTGTCGACTGAGAAAAAAAAGGAGATATAGCGGCGAATGCGATAGAATATGGCACGTCTTCGAGACCAGCGCGCTCCGATGTTGCGTTTGAAGTTGGATGAAGTTCCATCGAACGTTTCGCAAACGTTTAAATCAATTTACTTTTAGTCTCTATTTCAAATGTATTCTCCGCTTACGTAAAACTGAATAGGAATCATTAATAAACTTTAGGTCTGGAAGTTTTTTGGATTAATAAATAATTTATGTATCATCATCTTCAATTGCTAATCATCTTCAATTACAGATAAAATATATAGTAGTTGTCAGAGAAATCAATATATGTTGCATCTTACATAAAAACAGAGTTTAGCGTTTTCTTTAATTTATAAAAAACTCTTGGAATATATATATATATATGCTTCTCATATATTTAGTGCGCTCAAACTAGGCAATATTATTTTAAAAAATTAATTTTAAATTTAAATAATTTTTACATAATTCAAGATAATTGAAGAGCATTGACGTTATCGACTATTTCTTATTCACAAAAAAAAAATTTTACAGGAATATATAATGTAATTTAACATAAAATATATATACGCATTGAGTATGGAATAACCACAAAGTGAAAAATTAATTATTGCATTATTCTTGAATATTCATGCTGAATGAATAAAAACGGTCGATAATGTCAATGCTCTTTTATGTATATGTCGTGTTAAGAAAATTTAATACAAATTGTGTTGATATTGTTTCGCAAGATTTAACATAACGACGATTTAAATATTAATAAATCTATCTGTCATATTAATAAATTTATCTATAACATTTTCCTTCAATTATAAAATAATATAATTTTAATATATTATAATGTTAAAGATGTTCTAATAAATAATTACAAAGGATGATTCTTTCTCCTTATATCAATTTAAATTGCAAACTTTACTAGCAACGAAAGAAAAATTCGCATAATCTATTGAAATATTGTTAGTTACCCGACTAGAAATTGATAATATATCATAAGGATAATTTTAAGACATGCCTTGTTAAGGTCATCTCGATTAGGCCCTTATCATTACACAATCGGATTAATCATAATACAATAATTGATTAACTAGCAATGAATCTTTCGAGCTATTGTGTCTACATACACCGCTTGTATAGATAAACGCCGGATATCTATCATAATATGCAGATTGAAAAAAATGCAATACACTCCCTAAGTCATGTGTTTGTCATCACAATGCATGCAAAAACACACACGCGATGCTTTTCTTATATAAAGAAGTCCTAGTTCTTCACGCATTGTATTTTTGCTCTTAGCAGAGACTACACGCCGATGTCTAATATCAGTAATAACATTTGTTAATAATAGATAAGTCGATCCACCTTGAGAAGGAGTTAATCTTTGTACTTCACATACACATTGCGCTCAGCATGTGTGATAGTGAGACTGTACATATTATTTTCATAATTGCTAGCAATGTGTCAGTTACATTCACATGTGTGTCATTTAGCGATTTCATTTTGTATAGGACAGCAAATAAGCAAGTATTTCTATTTTCCTGTTTTTTTTTTTTTTTTTCGAATATTTCACTCTATACGAATCTATTTGAAACGATTAAATATCCATATTCAAAAAATTTTTTAAAGATATTTTTTTAAAGAAAAAATTTTCAAATTTTTCGAGAGTTTTGTCATTAACACTTAACTGACGGATATCAAATCCATCCTTGTTTAAAGAATTGTTGAGGCATTACTTATTTTACCTTTTCCAACAACTTGATTAAAAATTTATAATTACATATCATCAATGAAAAAATTATAAATGTCCATACAGTAGAAAAAAACTGTTTTTTATTTGTATCTCGTAAATGTATTTTCTTTTCTTCTCTCAATTATATTCAATAATAATATTGATATATTCTTTAAAGAAGAAAGGGATTCGTAAGCATTAAATTTTAATTAAAAAATTTAGTCTATAGTATATGTAGAAATTCCATTATTAATTCAAATAGATTATCTGTCGTAACCAGCTGTCAGGCGTCACCGCTCGCTTCTCGAGAATTAAATTAAATTCGTTTATTTTGGAACACCCTGTATAAGCACATCAACACAACACACAGGCAGACATGTACCTACACAGATAGACTTGTTTCAAAGAGTATCTTCAAGCCTAGTGCCGATGGCACTCGTTGATATTCGTGGTCGGGATACGGCAGCGAGCGGCGAGCCTCTCTCTCCGTCCGCGTCTTTCATTTCGGAGATGTCTTTCCGAAGGCATCATCATTTGTGAACGGGAATGCCGTTTTGTTCACTGTTGCTTCGCGAGCCGTGACACGACACGCTCACGTAAACGCCCGTAATGCTAAATTTAGTTCTCGCGTATCGAAATCGCACAGTATATTCTTCTACCGTGGCATTGGGCTTGCCACACGCGCGCGTACGTTGTGCCACGAAACGAAAGGTTCCTTGTGTATTAGGCGACCGTCCTATTAGTCGAATTAGGACATTGACCTTTAAGGGACTTGTGCGTATCTTTGAACAGCGCGTGTAAAAGATTCGGCAGAAGTACGTCCAGTCGAACAATGATTGACAATCCAATGATCTTGGCAGGACATATAAAACGGAAAGTTTTAAAAGATGCAGCGGGAAAATGTTGTATTAATCACTTTTTTAAATAGAATACATAAACAATGTCGCTTAAAAGCATTTTAGTTTATCTGGGAAAAAATTTAAAATTATACGTTATAGTTTTGAGAATAGTAGAGAAAGGTAAGTAATAAAAATAATCATGCGAAACGCATGATATGTTTTATTATAATACGAATAGAAACTGTCGCGTAACTTATTTATTTATAGTTATACGTAACGTATATTAATTCATATTTTATATGTTTAACGTCTAAAAAAAATATGTATGAAAAATTTTCGTGACTTAGGTGAGCTTTTTAGATTCAATACTGAATTATTTCAATTAATCAATTATTCATTTTATTTAGTGGCCTTGATTAACATTTTTATCTTTAAATTTTTATCTCTAAGCTTTCGATTAGTCATCAAATTATCTTGAGGTATTGTGAATTTCTACTACAGAATTCATATTTTTGTCGGAGAGTTAAAAAATTGTAATTCGCAAGCAACATTTACGGTGCTGTATTTGTATGTATTATATTGTTTCATCACCCGTGTGTGTATAACTATATAGTTATGAACATTTCATAATATTAAAGATATTCCGGTCTTTTGTCAATTCAGAGTCTATATTTTTGTGCCTCATTTTTCTATTCCTTTCGATTTTCGTGAAGGTCAATTTTAACGTAAAAAAATATACTAATTTAAATTTTAGATAGAACTGTGTACTCGATATATATGTACATATCTAATAATTATCTTACTTATTAGCATATGCTCAGTAATGCGCAGTAGGTTATAATAGTCATTATAAATTCAATGAATTCATAATATACTTTTTAATTTCGTATAATTTCTACGAAGACTAAAATGTTATGTAAGCAAACAAGATAATTAAAAATTTTATCAAAGAAACTATGTTTTTGCTATACTGGAATTTAATTTTTTACCTAGCAGCAAAAAATGTTTAGACTGCCGAATAGTTGTAAACGGATATGTCACAGAGAACTGTTAGTTTTTTCTCTCAAAAAAATTGCCTGCGAGCAGTGCCTATTTGCCGATTACTGCGGTAAAAGATGTTTAAATGTTGATGATAAGCCGCGCATAAATAACAGCCTAAGTGACTTCCTGTTGAGTTGCATTTCGTTCGCTTGTGGCTACGTGGAAGAAACTCAGCATTGCTTTTCACACATTTCCCGATGAGAGATGCAAACCAACGCTAATTACCAACACATACTTAGGCAAATGTTAAACTTATACTATTCGCGCCGAAAATGGATTTTTCTGATCACGCTGATTTCGTGCGTTGTTCTCATTATTCTTGTCACGAAGTATCCGTTTGTTGAAAATAATACAATAGTACGCGATACGTACCTGGACGATGTACCGGCAAATTTATATCAAACAGGTGAGAACCTTTTAAAGAATGTTCTTTTCAAATGTATTTTTTTCTTTAAAATAAGATAGTTACAATTTCGAATATGATACAATTCTGAATAAAATAAAATTTGAATCCAATTTTCAAGATGCATGTTTGATTTTTTCTTATTAAATAGTAGTCCTCCCGCTACACAATGAGAACCAAACTTGAATTTCCAAACTGAATTCAAATTTTATTTTAGAATTGTATAACGTTCAAAATTGTACTACCTTACCATAAAGAAATAGTTCTTTATTTCAAAGGCAATAACAACACATATATTCTTCTTGTTACAGTGTTGGACACATGGTACAACTTTTCCAATAGTGAGTAATTCTAATAATTTATAAGTTATTTTAAACGATAGTTAATAAATGTCAATGTATTATAATCTTTACAGTTTCAGTAAATGTATTTTGTATAATAAACAGATAATTGTATAATTTCCTATTGCAAGTAGAAAAGAACTGATATGTGAAAAAAATACGTGAAAAATAGATTAACATTCATGTTTTTACAGAAATCTTCATTTCGAGAAAATTATACTTGAACAATGGAAAATTACATCACTCTCATATGTTATTATTACTCTCTTACTAGACCATGATTGTAAATTTAATTAACAAAATGCGATCCAGGCATCTGGCATATATAGCATTGATATCACGTGAAGGTACAATACGTCATTCTGTACGCGCTTGAATTAGGCAAATAATAACTTCAGTAATAGAATCACGTATTTAAAATACGAAGTGATAAGTTAAAGCTATGTCTATAAATACAATTTTAAATCGAATAAAGATAATATCTATAAGAGCCAAACACAGGATGTCTGTGTGTAAAATATTTATTTAATTATTAGCTAAAGTACAGACGTTTCGATCCTATTGCGGATCCTTCTCAATATCGCAATCTACTTAAATTACTAAATATTAAAAACGCTGATAACAAACAAATACAACATATAATTGTAAATCGAATTAAGCGACATGTAGCCGTGTCATGTGATGTAAAGCAGTTACATGTTAAATGTTTGGGATCGAAACGTCTGTACTTTATCCAATACTTAAATAAATATTTTACACGCGGACATTCTGTGTTTGGCTCTTATATATATATATATATAT